CTCAGGAGCTTATCGAACTTTATCTACGAGTTTGTGCGATTGAATGAATTCGAAAAAAAAGAATCTCATATTGAAGGTGTGGTCTTATGTGGAAAGTTATATCATTTTCGTCCAACTGAATGCATAAAATAGCGGCTCAACCCAAATACTCACGCGGAAACGACTAAACGGATTTGCATGAAATTTTGCACACAGATAGCTTATGACATAGGTTAGAAAGTAGGCTACTTTTTAAGAGTTACCCCCTGTTAGAAATGTTTAATTTAATTAATACGCGGAAATGAGTGAACTGATTTGCATGGAAGTTTTCACACAGATAGCTTATAAGCTAGGTTGAAAAATGGGCTACTTTTTTAAGAGTTACCACCTGCTAAAAACGTTGAATCAAATTAATTTAGAAGTCTGAACGGATTTGCATCAAATTTTGCAAGCAGATAGCTTATGACCTACAGTGGAAAATAGGCAAATTTTTTGGAAGAGTTGCCACCTGTTAAAAAAGTTTTGATTAAATTAATACGCGGAAACGACTGAACAGATTTGCATGAAAATTCGCACAGAGATAGCTTATGACCTTTGTTGGAAAATATGCTACTATTTTAAGAGTTATCACGTATTAGAAAAGTTTAATTAAATTAATACGCGTAAATGACTGAACTGATTTGCATGAAAGTTTGCACACAGATAGCTTATGACCTACAGTGGAAAATAGGCCTCTTTTTTAAGAATTGCCACTTTTTTGAAAATGAAATTTTGTTCAAAGATGGTTTATGGCCTGGATTGAAAAATAGGCTACTTCCTTAACCGGTTTTCCGATCAGAACGAAATTTAGTACACTTACTACGGATTTCGGAAGGATGGTCTTAGACTGAAAGTAAGTCCGATAACTCAAGGCCCCTCCCATACAAATTGGAATTTTCATATTACATACATATCTCTGGAAGTATTTGTGGGAGAGAACTGAAACTTGGTATAGTGATATGTATGTGAAATCAATGATGGCATTAATCGATTGATGTTTTAATCAGTTAGTTAATTCGATTAAATTCAATCTGATTACAGTTAATCATGATTAATTTTAATCTGGCTAAACAGTTAATCGTAACCGCGATTAAAAACTTAATTTTTAATCGTTAACTCTTAATTTGATCAAGTAGGTTTGGTGATTAATTAAGTTATGCTGGAATTTCCCTGTGCACACAAAGCAAGTTAATCCGGTATGGCTAAGTCGGGTTTCCTCATCAATCTAAGCAATTTGGTGTGCATTTTCATTAAGATATATACCAACAAACGTTTTACAAACTAGGTTTGTAAAAGTTCCTAGTTTATGTATTACTAATAACAATAATAATATTTTTTTATATTATGTGCTTTTTATAAGCGTAAACACACAAAATAATTAGA